GTGCCTTTAAAATGCATAACATGTTAAAGTACAAAGCTGACTCTGAGCTAGTAGGTACCCTAAACTTACCTACTGTCTCTTTTTTTCTTTTAGAAGACTAAGCATTTTTTTATACCTGAAAGATAAGCTATAGGAGATTGAACCGTGATCCAGCCTACCTTCCTACACTTTTTTCTCCTCCCTCATGCCTTTAAGTTTGACTTGATTTAATTTTGTCTTAAAATCTTAAGAGCATCTTTAGTACATTTTGGCTTGGACTTTTCAGTCTTTGCTAGATAGCCAAACTTCTGGGTCCAGCTCTTACTCCTACACTTTTGCTACACCTTTAACTTTTCAGTGTCCTGCCTTTTCAGCTTCTCCCGGGTTTTAAAATATATTCTCTATATATCCTGATGCAAAAATAAAACCAAAGGGCACATTTTAATTGCCCTCCATCCTATTGCATTTAAATAGAGAAGAGTTCCCCCCTCCCCAGTCTCTTTATTTTTTTTTTAAATCTCAGCCTGTAAAAAAAGCTTAACATTGTGGTCCTAGTGGGTCTTGGTGACCAATTGTCTATCTTTTCAAGAGCAAAGGGCATAAAGTGTGTTAAAGTATGAAAGCCAGCCCCAAACAGGTGTCCCCTTTGGTTACAAAGCAAACTTGGAGACCAAGGAACTGCAGGAGTTGGCGGCCTGGCCTTGGCCTTCACTCTTCACTGAGGCATTGGAGTGGAGGCCCAAAGACCCTGGTAAGATAGGGCAGCATGGACGGAATTGACCTCTCCCTAGTTAGGGTGCTGGGTCCAGGAACTCTTCCACCTTGGCTCACCACTGCATTGCACTGAGGGCACCCAGGCCAGCAAGCCCACCCTGTAACCTCATTCTTTCTAGGCAGCACTGCAGCTTCTCTGTAACCCTGTGCTTTGCCTAGTTCCCTGTATAAATGCAAACATTGACCGCAAAAGAGAATTCCTCCGAGGCTGCCATTCTAAATCTTGAAGTAGGAATGGACTGAATTAAGCCATTTCTAAATTCTAAGGATTTAGAGTTGGAACCAACCCATAGCTGACCCTTTGGTGGGTTTTCAGAGGCAGTTAATTGCATGGGAGATTGCCCATCCTTCTCCCGCTAAGAATTTAGCTTAGAAACACAAAATCTAGACATTCTCTAGTCTATTCTGATTGCTCAGCCCACTGAAAGGATAAAGATTCCACTGCTCTACCAAGATTCTACTGCTTGGATTTTTAACCAGGAAAAAGCTCAGCACACTAAGGACAAACTCTTGAAAGTAGCCTGACTTTATTTCCACCATCTGGTTAAGCTGAATGAATGAATGAATGTGCAGCGTGTTTGCAGATACCATACCTAAGGAGCAAGAGCATATTTTAAATGGAAATAGAGCTGCTTCACTGTTGAAAAAATATTTTACAAGACTCAATTCAGGACAATAGAAGTTGCCTACACAATCTCTTGAGATTAATTAATGAGATAAAGGGAAAGAAAAGAACTTCAATTAATTGTGGTCAAAGCAAAACTAAAAGTCTCTCCCAGAAACTTCCATTATCTCCATACTTAAAAATAATAAAAGGAACACAAAAAGTTCCCTCAATACTTGGCAAATCCTGGCCAGCTAGGATTTTCCCTCAGGGCAGCTTTGAATCTTTCCCAGATATTCACCAGTTCTCTAGGAGACTTCTCATTTATTTTTATAAAATGTATCTTAGTTCTCTGACCCATGGGCATTTGGGGTGCAAAGATGTGTCTGAAGAATGATGCAATTAAATGCTTTTCATCCACGCATATCTGGGGAAATACTTTGACATTTGTGTTACATCTACATAATTATGTTCTTTCATGCATAAATTGTCTTATATAAAATATCAAACTTATGAGTCTTTTCTATATATAATTTACTAATTCTGAATGTCTCAAAATCCTCAACATCCAGTGCAGTTAATCGGGAGCCCTGGTTAAGTGCTCCAGTGCTAAGGGAAAAGGTTAGAACTTGGAACTCACCAGTAAGTGCTTGGAGGTGAAAGGGAGAGAAGGAGGATGAGGCACTGATGAAAATCACAGTAACAGGCAGTTCTGTAAGCACAGGTGGGGAGGGACCCACAAAAATCAGACCTTCTGAGGTTTCCCTCCTAGTGACCTCCAGCTTTATATAGGGAGAGAAAAATCTTCGAGTGAATCACTGGTTCCAGTGGGTTGCCTGCAGTCTAACCCATACTTCTAGAACTGCTGAAGTGCACTGTATGGGACATCCTCTAAATTAGTGAACTGGATTGAGTTCCTATTTTGCCCTAAATCTGAAGTAGAGAGTAGCTCTCTACATGGAGTTTGAGTACATCTGTCTTGAAAGGTTTTATTTCTTAGTAAAACATTAAGTAGAAAACAACTGCGTTCCTTTCCCCTTCAACATGCAAAACGCCCTTGTGTCCTTTTGAATTACACAAAGGATACTCATTTACATCCCACCCAAATTAACCTGCAATGTTTTCCATTCTCTGCAACCTTGATTCTGGGTTTTGGTTCCTGCTTTTCACTGGGGAAAGGTAAGTAAAACTTAAAAAAAAAACCCAAAAACACCCTAAGAATATTTAGGAATGGCTCATGCAGAGTTAGCACTTTTGAAGCCAACTTTTGCTGTGGCTTCTCTAAGCCTTGAGAGGGATTTGTTTGTCTGAGATCCGTCTACCATAGGCAAGACACTTCTCCTCCTCTTCAGTTAATGAGTTTCACCTAGTCTGGCTGTTTGTGTTTTCATAAAAGAACTGCAAAACACTAGAAGGAAAAAAGATGTTTTGTATTATAACCTGGAGTTTTATAATAATAAACCATTTTCTGTTTTAACGTTTCAAGAATCAAATCTAATTTTGGGATTTGAACGCACAAATATCCCTAGGCATATATAGAATGCTAAGCCCATGCAATAATTGTGGTGTCGGTCCTTTTACTTATGAACAGAATACGAATGGAAGAAGAAGAAAAGTATATGCCTACATCAAATATACGACCTAACAATAACTTGAAAACTTTCTCCTTATGTGCTAATGCATGTATTTTTAATAGTGTTAATCTCATTGGTCTCAGTGATTCTTTGTTCTGGAAATAAATTATCAAAGGAGAAGCTCCTTAAAGACTCATTTTCTTCAGCTGTGTTTCCTGAAGCCTTTGCTTCAGAAGCTTGTTTTGTTTTGTTTTGTTTTTATAAGCTGTGAAAACAAAAAGGAGCAAACTGGACTTTCAGAACATTTTCTGCAAGTACAAAGAAGCATTTTAAACATGTCAGTAATTACACTAGCTTGGTTTGGATTTCTAAAGTAATTCCACTTACATGCAAAAGCCAAAGATGGAAAGATGTTCTGTACACACGTTCTATTTTTTCATACTCGTTTTCTTTCAAAATAATTTTTAAATTTTTAGAGTATTTCTCAAAATGCATTCATGGTCCCACAAAGAGTGGGTCCATGCTGGCCTCATTTTTTCTCCCTTATGAAAGTGATAGAAGTGTTTGGGAAATATTTACTATAAAAAAATAATTCGGAAAAATTGAAATCTAAAACACTTTCTGTAGGATTCAATTTGCTAGATCAATGAACTAAAAATATTTCAGCTAAAACTGATTCGAAAACTACAAAAAGATTTGGGAGACTCAAGTTACTGTGATAATTTCTAAGGCATAACTTAGCTACTTGCTTTTAATTTATGAGCTCATGTTCTTCAAATTGCCTTTTCAGTGTTTGTTATTCACCAAAATTGTCAAGTTTCTGTATTTACATAATTAGTACATTGAGGTGTGTTGTCACATTATGCTGGTTAATAAAACTCAAAAATACACTGCTTACCACCCGACTGTTAAGAAGACAGTACTTAAGATTTGTTATAAGTTAAAGTATCAATTAAAAATAGAGGAACTATAAATTGGCTTATTATAGACACAATATGAAATAAAACCGCAAAATCAAGGTTGAATCTCTTGATAAAATGATATGTTGGGGAAATTATAAACATTTTAGTATTTTAAAGCCTGATTACAACTTAATCACTTTTTTCCCCTTCGTGCATTTTCGAATAAAGATTAATTTATGTCATTTTTTAGCAATTTTCAAACAGCAAGGATTGTTGTGAGTGGCATACACTAGGCAATGAGGTTATGTGTGTTGGTGTCAGTGAGACTGGCCAGTACAGAGTAGGCTTCAGAGCTGTTGTCCATAGGATCGATGAGTCGCAGGCGACTTGAGAGCACATAACAACAACAAGGCAGTGATTTCGAGACTCTGAAAGCTGACAGTAACATTCCAGCACTTAAAGGTATTAAAAAAACCCGGTAAGAAAATGCCTCAAATATGGTAAATAATATAGCTACAAGATGATGTGGTTGTCAGTTCACTTGGGAAAACCGAATTACATATAAATCGTAGTTTACAACTATCTTTCATATGATGAGCAGCATCTTAGAAAACAAATCCCTTTAGGATAATTACACAAACACATTTGCCAGATGATCAAAACATTCTGAAATGAGCATTTAACTTAAAATGTGTGTATATCAAGCCATATAATATTTCTCTATTACCTAAATGGCAATAAATTCCTTTGAAATGTGATGTGCATGCTCCACGTTTGAGCTACAATTTACTTTCACTCAAACGTTACTTAAATTGCACTTAAAGGGAAGGGGCCTTTAAAAAGTAATTTTCCAAGGTCTGTTCCACTTCAAAAGAGAGTCAGGTTTCAAGCTGGTGACTTTCAGAGATACAAACACGAGGAGAGTTTACAACTTTAAAACTCTGAAAGCTTTGGTTAGGAACGTTTTGGATGTGGGCTCAGCCATCTTTTCGCATTATATAGGAAAGTCGGAAGGGAGGAATCGCCAACTCAAGGCTACACGGAGTGATGTTATTCAGCCTCTTAGCGCTGTCGCACATCTTCATGGTCCCTTGCTTGCTGACCGCCAAAACGCAGCGCTTCTCGGCCGCTTTTTCTCCTAGGTTCCTTGGCCACAGCGCCCCGCGCTCACCACGTCCTGCCATAGAGCAGGTTGGCGCCAAGCACGCCGCCACTGTAGTCTCCGGCCGCGTCCAGAGCCGCCAGGCCAGCCCCAGAGCCGTGCATCGCTGGAGGGCTGGGCGACAGCGCCTCCAGCTCCGGCGCTGACGTCGGGGCGGCCGGCGGGACCGCAGGGCCAGGCGTTGGTGTGCCCGCGCCGTTCTGGCACGGTTTGCCGTCCTTGACCAGCACGGGAACTGCCACGCGGCGCGGCGACGACGGCGGCGGGCCCAGACCCTCCTGCTGCAGCTGCTGAGCGGCCTTGTCCTTGGCTTGCCGCTTCATCTTGTAGCGGTGGTTTTGGAACCAGATTTTGACCTGTGTTGGCGTCAAGTGGATCATACTCGCCAGGTGCTCGCGCTCCGGCGCCGACAGGTACTTCTGCTGCTTGAAGCGCCGCTCCAGCTCGTAGACCTGCGCCTGAGAAAAGAGCACGCGGCGCTTCCGGCGTGGGGCTGCCGAGTGCAGGGGCGCCAGCGACTTGGCAGCATCGGCGATGCCCGTCAGCGACCCCATGCCTGCCACATTGACGCCGGTCGACGGCCCCATGAACCTGGAGACTGGGAAGGGGTCCGAGAAGAAAGATGGCCTTGAGCTCCAGACCCGCTTTGCGCACACGCGGAGGCCACCACAGCCCGGCCTCAGTTGTCGGGACCCTCTGCGCATTCCCGGCGAGGACCTAGAACCCTGCACGGACCTCGTCCAGGGATGCAGGACCCCGCGTGCGCTTAAGAGCCCCCGACCCTCCAAGCGCTCTTAGCCGGACCCTGGGGCTCCGCGCTCCTGAGGCTGTGCCCCCCCCCCCGAAACGCACCCCGCGCCCTGAGTGCTGGCGGGACAGCCCTCACCGTGCGCCCGCCCTCAACCCAGCGCGCCCGCCCCGCTCACTTGAGTAGCGCGGGTCTGGGCTGGCGCCATACCATCCGGTGGCCGCTGCGCTGCTAAGTACGCCTTCCGTGTAGGCGGGCAGCTCGCCCACGCTGCCCAGCCCGCCGTTGCAGTAGCCGCCCATGGCTCCGTGCGTAAACTGCGAGACGCCCGGTGGCATGTGGTAGGTAGCGGCCGCGCCGTGTCCCGACATGGTGTGGGACGGCTGCATGCCCACGGCGACCGTCTGTGGGGAATTCCCGGGCGGCGGCGCGCGGTAGGCGGTGGTCGCAGCGCCCAGGGGCACTGAGAGTCCAGGTGGCGCGCCGTCCATGGCACTACCGAACTTCTTGTAGGTCTCCTCCATGGGGCTCAGGATGTCGGACACAGAGAAGGGCGTCGTGTGCTTAGGGCTCAAAGACATGGCTCGGCGGAGCGCCAGGCGGGGGCCCTGGGCGGGCACGGGCTGGACCGCGCCTCGTTTCTCCACCACGCGGGCGCAGCGGAGCGCCTATGATGAAGACGCCGGCGAGCCAGGGCACTCGGCGATCTGGGGTTTATTTCAGTCCCGCGCTAGGTTTACGACAGACTGGGGGGCGGAGCAACATCTCAAATGAGCAAACAATGGTTATTGACATCTTTTTCTCTGGCCCCCCTCTTCCCATAATGGAGGCAAAAAAAGGTAAAGGGATCAGTTGGATGTTTCTCGAGAAGATCATTCTCCTTTGCTTTCTCCATCCCCCTTTGCCTCTGTCTCACGAAGACCCCAGCACTAGAAGTAGAAGAGCCCAGCTTGTGGGCTGAGAGGGACGGATTCAGAACTTCAAGCTTCAGGTTTTTTCCAAAGTAACTCACTTGCAAAGTCCAGTTGCAAAGTCTAATTGGGAGGAGGACATGCCTCAAAGTTAGTGAGGGAGTGATTTTCAAGGCTCACGTCATCCTTTAGCGCTACCAGTCCTTCACTAACTTTAGTGTTGTTGGTGTTTTTGTTACTGTTTTTAAAGACTCTTGGGTCCCACCATAATGTGTCAATGTTGTAAGACTTATAAGCTCTGTCACTTAGAGCTGCTTAGTTTGTGCATCTTCAGACTCAAGCATCATTTTTTCAGAGCATGTAAATGGGAACTTCCAGATTAGCTTAAAGTATCCAAATGCCAAGAAGAGAGAAAACATACTGTGTAGGCACAGCTACATACTAATTTGTAAGTATTATGTTTCTACTCTGAGGGGTTGGAAGTTGGTCAGAGAATTATTTCTGTTTGCTAGACTGTATGTTGTTAAGTTTGCCCCCTTTCCCCCTTTTCTTCCGTTCTTTTCTGTTCAAGAAATTGGGTTGTTTATTCATTTTCTACTATGTATAAGAAGAGAAAGAAAAAGACGTCCAAAATATTTCTAGCTGTTTGCAGTGAGTCTTTTGCTTGTTGCCAACCTGTTCAAAGAGTATGAAATGGATGTAGAAATTAGGTGGAAACAACTTCTCTGAAAAACATAAAACTATATATATCCACCGATAAATTCAGATTTACCTGTTCAACAAAGGAACACTTAGACCTTGAGACCTTTCCAACAATGCTGAGCAAGCCAGAATAACACAAAAGATGTGTGCAAAGCATATTGGTTAAGTTTTGAAAACACCCTTGCATTTTAAAAAATCGTTTGGGAAGCAAAAATAGTATTTCTTAGGAAGATTTCTCAGAACGTAGTGACAGGAAAAGCGAAATTTTAATAAGAAATATATGTGTGAAAAATAAATTTAATCTGACAGCACATATCTTGAAGCAAGAATTGTATTACCTATTTCTTTTCCCATTGATTGCACCAGTTTCTGTGCCTTTGTTACAATTTTGTCCGTTTCCATGTAGTTTTTTGCAAATAATCTGCCTTTTTTAGAAGGATGAGAAGCCACTATGGTTCCCTGTGGGGAATGTCTTGCAAACAGGGAGTTTACAGAGTAATACTGTTTAAAACTAAAAAAATCAAATACCATGCTACTTGAATTGTTTACAGACATCAGCTACTGACTTAGCAAATTACCATTGCTGTAGTTTCACAGACAGTATTTTTTACAAGTTTTTACTGGACTTGAAACACTTGGGCCATGTCTTCAGCTTCACCTGCCCTGGAATTACTTACCATTCTTTTATTGTATTTTTAGTAAATTGTAGATAATGAAGCATTTATGTTGGGGTTTTTAATAAATTTTTTATTTTGTACTGATTTACTTACAAAGTTTGTTTTTCACACAGAGCATTTATGTTTGTATTTAAGTGGTTGCAGTGATCCTTCAGAAAATGGCAACTATCTGTTTTCAGTTAAATTCAAATGGTATTTTTACATGTTTATAAACTTACTTGAAGAAAAATAGGAAGTTTTGTATTTCTGAATTTAGAGAAAGCAGATAGGTAAAAATAGTTGTGTTATTATACTTATGGATATAAAAATTAATTATACTTATAAGCATAAATATATTACTGAAATTAGATCCTTTCTTGTAAACTGCTGTTAATTAGTGGTCCACACTGACATTGTCGACAACTACTTTTTTCCCCATAGATAATTGTAATCTACTCTGTTTTTAGGCTGTACATTTTATCTCATATAATTTTATCCATAGAAGTTCAAAAGGGCAATTCTCAGTAAGTTATATCCCATGTTATTGCTTATTTCTAAAAGCATATTGGGTCCTGCTACAGATATATTAGGGATGTCTGGTGGCCTACTTGTAAGAAGCTACACTGTAATCACAAAAGCACACTGTTCGAATCCACCAGCTGCTCTGAGGAAGGAGAAGGATCTCCTGCCTTACAATTTACTGCCTCTGAAAATCCCCTGGAGGGTCAGCTATGAATTAGTTTCTACTCTATAGCACGTCATGATGACAGGTGTATTTACATCCCTCTTATCTCTGTGATAAAGTGCTCATTTACCTAATGAGCACTTTATCAAATCTAGAGGTTCTTTGCAGACTTCCCTGCTTAGGAACTTGATATACAAATAGAATTACTTCATTGAAGGTAAACAGTTGTGCATGCGTATGTAGGGGAATACAATCTTCAGCATTTCTCCCTATCAATTATTTGTGTCTTGTTCTGGAAATGCATACTAGAAACACTGGAGATCAATGCAGATAGTTATAAATACGGTCTAGAGGACACAGACGTACATTTATGTATAGACAGAAAATAATCTGATTAATATTCCATTAAAGCCTTTCACCAGATTCATGTAATCAAATTATTATCTGTCTAAATGATGTGTGCACATTTATACTCAATAGGTTCTTAAATATAGGAGCCTTGGTGGCACAGTAAGCTAGACACTGGGCTGCTAACCAAAAGGTCACTAGTTTGACACCAGCAACCCTCTTGTGTGGGAAAGATGAAGTGGTCTGGTAAAGATTTACAGCCTCAGAGACCCGGTGTGGCAGTTCTGCTAAATCTTCATTGTTAACAGGAATCAACCTAGGGCAGTAGGGTTGTTAATATGTATACAGAGACACACACACACACACACACACACACACACACACACACACACACACACACAGATGTATTTAACGATGTCTGTATTTTTACACATAATGTTTTTAACCCATAAAGATGAAAATGGCATTTGTGGAGGAAATGGTAATGAAAAATCTGAATTATTCAACTTCTGTCAGAACTGACTTATGCTGCAGTCATTGGAATGGAACTTTAAGTTGAAGACTACGTGTATATTGCTTGGTACCTTGCCTTTTCCTATTTTATGGGTTTTTGTTTGTTTCACAAAAAAAAATTGCTATAAACTTAATAGTGAAAACTTTTAAGTTGTGACAGAAAAATTTTCTAGGTGAAAATATTTTTAGGCTCCAGGCAAATGGAAATTTCTAGAGAGGTTTTTTAATTTTCTGACAAAAATGTGTAATGTATTAAAAATCTCCAATATGTTAGTTAACTCTATGGCCAAAAATACTTGACAAAGTAATTCTGAACTGAGGGTCTTCCTCAGGCTTGGGTTTTGCTGTCTTACATAAGCTCAGAGAGAGGGGCCAAAAAGAGGTTGAGAAAATTGTGACCTACCTCTGTTGAGAAGGGATGTCAGCCATTGTCTAGAGGAACTTAATGTTGATTTCTTAGGTGGACAAATAGATTCCTAGGCTATGCTAAGTTCTTAATAAAGGCAAGCAGTATTTGAGATAGAACTTTCTGTTTGATATTTAGCAATAGAAGTGACTTTTAAAGTGAGATGCTTGCTGCATTTGTACTTTGTTTAAAATAGCTGTGAACTGGTTTAATCAAATTTTCATTTTGTCGAAATAGTTTTAAAACACTTTTTGCTGTTAAAGGATAAAAAAACATATTAAAGGTACTAGTATTTTACAAAAAAATTGAGATTAAAAAGAGGAAGCAAAAGTTCTTCAGAGATAAAACATAGAGGTTAATTATTTTTGCTGATTTTGTGTTTTTTAAAAACTGCTTCTTTTTGCTTGTTAGTCTCCTTTATGCTTTTGTTTTAAACATTCATTTAAATGATTTTAAATCTCTTAAGATAATTTTATACTTAAAATTATTTTATTTCTATATGACAAAATAATCCTTTCATAAGTATGGTTTAACAAAATTTGAACTTTTACGATTTAATTACTCTTTAAAAGTCTTTAAGAAAAAAAAGTCTTTAAGTCCCCTTTTGCTGAGATTCAGGTATTTTAGATTTCTATTTAATGAAAGCAGCACAGATACACATTTTAAATGAAAATGTTTATTAGTACAATGTGAGAACTTATTATTGTTGTTGTTAAGTGCCATCAAATTCACCACAGCACATAATGACCCTATGAACATAGCAAACCTATTGCATTATCCCATACCATCCTCACAATCTCACCCAAGCTCAAGTCCAAGTCCACTGCTGCTTTCATTGTTGAGAATTGGTAGTAGTTGTTAAAGATGTTATTGTTGGTGTAATTATCATAATAATGGAGATCAATCAATTAGTACTTTAAAAGGAACTCCAAGGAGTTTTCCCCTTCTTAGGCCTAGCCATAACACTAGTATTTGCAGTCATTGAGGAGAATAACATTAGATATTGCCACTATTTTTTGTTGTCAACAACAAAAACAGCAATGTGTGGAAAATAGTAGCAGTATCAAAATTCAATTTTTACTTCTGAGCAACAAGTTACTAGTATATTTTCCTTACAGAGAGTTTAAAACATTTTGGATACAAAAACATTTTCATTGAACAAAATCTTTGACATTTTTAACATTTTCTTTTACATTTTTAGTATAATAATAGAGCTCTTTTTATAGGAAAAAAGAACCTTTTGGATGTTCAGCAGTTATTTTTCTTTCATTTTGTCTGAGGAGTTGATAATTGTAAAATTCTACTCTAGTTCCACACACATCTGTTTAATGTGAATACATCCAACTTTTTAAAAAGCAAAATATTATGTATAGTT